GAAAGATCTGAGAGCAAGTAGGGTGAAGAGTGAAGAGTAGAGGACATTGGAGTTGGAGATTTGCATAGGGAAAACTGGTAAGAGGAACCAAGAGAGAGACCTTCAGTCAGGTGTTTCAAGAGAAGACATTTAAAGAGAAGTTAGTAAGGAGAGGAAGTTCTAGCAGGAAGAAAATGAGAGTTTTGAAGGACAATTAGATGAAATACTGAAATAGAATAGCAAGTAGCTTTTGTGAGCAAGGAGAAAAAATGGAGACTGTTTAATAAAGTAGATATGACAAAGATAAAAGACTGAGAAAATAAGAGGATTTCCTCTTTCAGTGAAAAGGAGCAGGGGCAAAGGACTTCAGAAAAATAAGATAAATAAGAAAGACAAAAGCTAGAAAAATACTGTTACTGAGAAAAAAACAGTTGAAGAAGTAAGGATAACCGGGGGCAGGAAGCACTAAAGCATTTTGTAACTAAGTGGATGACTATTTGTGCTCCTATAATTGATATTTCTTTGGCTGATTTCTGCCTCAAAACAGAATAAAGGGATAAGGATAGATAGGTAGTTATTTGAGTGCTAGTTTATGTGAATGATTTTGGTAACCTGGTCTGGATTATGTAATTAAATTATTAAAATTATCTTGGTTACTGTGTATTTTACTTAGGCCATTTCTTCTCTGGGTATCCTGATATGTCTTTGCAATAGACACGGTGTGACCATGTCTCAGTGTGAGGCTGTTCCCTGTCTTCTCCAGAAATGCTCTTTCTCTTGTCTAGAATGAAACTGGAGGAGAACCCACCTGCTTGCTTCAGGAACAGTCTTACACTGTGGGGATAAACACACAAATAGTTGAAAGGTAGCAGGACTCTATTTTAAATAGCAGTATAAAACCTGCTATTTATGAAGTGATTCCACATTTTGGATACCTTAAAATATTCCTATCAGATTTTTCAACCCTTTCACAGGTGCATGCTTGGAAAAAATCAGGTTCCCTCTCCACTTGAATGTAAACTGCAGAATATGTTATAACTAGAAAAAAATGCTGGGATTAATAGTTCCCACATATTTCTAACCTCAGAAATTAATCAGGTTAAGCTTCAGTACTTATTTACTTCAGTAGTGTACTATCAAGTGATGAACTTTAAATTTCTGTCAATTTATCAAGTCATCAGGCTTCATCTACATAGAAAAAGTTAACCGGTTGAAATGCCTGCGTTAAAATGAAAAACCCACTCATGCTTGTGTAGGAAGACATTAACAAGCCTTTTCTTTAATATTTATCAAATATGGTGCGATGTTCCCGTAGAAGCAGCTCCTGTACCTTCTTTTCGCTGTAGTGAGATCCCATTGTGTCTTGTTCAAGTGGAAAAAGAAATTAATATCCTCCCAAATCGCTCTGCTCTACAATGTGTACTGAACAGCCATGCAGGTTTCATATGCTTGTATCAATTTTTTTTAAAAAATCCTATCTTTTTTACTTAGTAAGGAGTATGGTGTATATCTTGAATCTAACCAGAATGACTGATGAGCAATTTTGCTTAATGGCTGACACTGAGTTATCTGGAGCTTTTTTCCAGAAAATGAGCGTATGTGAGTCCAGAAGCATCTTCTGCCACCTTTTACATTGCTTTATAAAATGATGATACACAGGATTAGCTGTATGGCTATCAAAATGAGCAAGGAACTCTAAATAATTCTTAGTTTTAGGCTTCTGTAATACCATCTCAATGTAAAGCCAGTGAGCATGACCTGAGGCTGGAGCTGTGTAGTGCAGTTGATGAAAGTGAATTAATAAAACCACTGGACCATGAGCCCGTGAGAGTCCAAGTTTCTGCTGCTGTGCTACAGGCATAAAGGAAATATTTTCTTAAATACCATTTCCATTTTTGCTTAAGCTTTTTGTGAGGGAAGCAGCATGCTGTAGTTCACATGATACTAATTTTATGATTTTCTTCTTTCTCTTGGAGCTTATATAAGGAGTGAGATAGTTATCCTTTAACTTAGCAATTAAACTCCATTGTGTATGCAACTGTACATGTTTAGTCAGTGTTTGAAAGCAAATATAAAAATATTTTATTTGGGTTTTTTTTATATCTTTATTATCCTTTTCCCCTTGTATATAATTTCTTTCCTTTATGACACAGTGACCATTTATGAGAGCACTAATACTGTGAGAACCAGAGAAGGAAATAGTCATGGGACACACAAATCAAGGGTGTTTTGTACAACCTTTAGTCTTCAGAAATAAATGCGTACTTTTATGAAGCAATAAAAATAAAAGACAGTAAATATGTTATTCTTTTTCTTTGAGTGTGTATGTTGACTCAAGAGGATGTCCTGTCTGAGTTATGGATCCTTGAATGATGACCCATTACGAGACAGAGCTCAAATTTTGTTCTATAGAGAGGTTACTGAAAGTATCAGCTGAAACTGTAACTGTACACAAATAGAGACTGCGTATGTGAATGTGCATGTACTGTCATTTGCATTTTAAATTTGTCTAGGAACATCTTGGGGGCATCTTGTTTTCTTCATTTAAAAAATCTGGATAGCACCTGTAATTAAAGGAGAAAACGGAGCCCTGGAAGCTAGGTAGGACTTCCATCTATTGATCTGTGTAAACCCAGCTTATGCTGTCAGGGGAGCAGCAGTCAACTGCTGAGCTGCTTTGTCACTGACATAAGCTGAGAGAGGATTTTTATTTTTTTTATGTCTATACTGTTTATACACCAGTCTATAGACCTGCTGGCTGGTTGAATTTTAAAGAGTGCGGAGGTTTAAAGACTTGTCCCCTGAGGGATGCTCCTGCCAGTTGGGAAGCGAGCTGAGGCTGCTCTGCAGAAGTTGTGCACACGTGTGCTGGCCGGGGGGGCGCAGGCAGGGCTGGGAGAAGCGCTGGCCTGCAGCTCAGCCTGCAACATGCTGCAAAACAGACCCATAATTTTCAGGTTGTTTAGTCAAAATATTGAGCTCATACCTTTGGTTTTTTTGGTTTTGTTTTCTTTTTCTTGCGTGATAATTTATTCTGAGAGACTACAATGGGGAACATAAATGAATACATTTCCATACCCGGGTCTGAGTCAGTGCTAAGCTCACCAGGCAGCAATTAAAATCCTTGGTAGTAAGGAGAAAATGACTTCCTATAGTGCAAGAATAGGTGCAGATTTGGAAAGAGAATTTAAATAAAGTATAAAATACTATTTCCTTGGAATGGAAAAAACAAACTCTATGAGCCTGAAGTAAGAGACTATTGGGAAATGTTTAGGAAATTTTAGTTAAAAGTTTTGATTATCCTGTTCTGCTTGCTTTCTTTTCTTAGAGTTTATTATGACTACTATCAGCATCTTGTATGCTTGTTTCCTACAGAAATGAACATGTTTACCTACTCTGTTTGCATTTTGCCCATCACGCTTCCACAGTGGCCACTTGCAGCAGTCAGAATGGTGCTTGAGCAGTTTCTTTTGGAGAATTTATTATGTACTGCTATTGTTCATAATTAAGTTAATAACCTTTCTCAAAACAACAGTATGTGGTTTCATATTCTCCTTTATCTGTGCTGACAAAGTAAAAATTCCAAAGATTTTGTGAACTCTCTTATGTGACTTAGAAATTCTAGAAAAGTTGATTTTTTTTCCCTTTTGCGCTGTATGATGATTTACTGGGGCACAGCATATACCTTTAAAATGTTGCAACTAATGTATGCATATTGTATTCAGAGGCATCTTTTTCCTGAACTGGTTGTCCCTTGCTGATTAACTTGCATGGGTTCTTCATGTTTTACACTATCCACTGAGCAAGGCAAATGTTTGAAGTAAATAGTCATTGTGCTGTGTAGGAATTTAAAGACATAATTTCCCCTAATGGGAGTTGACTGTTCAACATACAGTAAACAGAGAGTTCAGGATGGAGAGTGCTAACATCTTAAATCAAGTTCTTAAACCCCCATGTGCAGCTCTGGAAATTTGCAATCAATGTGCATTTTTCTGAAACTATGCACCTTGTGTGATACTGGTGTATGCAGCAGCATCTCCTGTGCTGCTCTGCCACAAAGGGGAATTCTCTAGCTTTGCTGAACAACTGTGTTGATGTCGACTGCCTCTTCTTAGCTGAAGCATTTCACCAAGGGTTTGTTTTCCCATTTGGGATCAAGGAAATAAAACCTGTTTTTCTGGGATCTTGTAAGGTCATTGTTTAGTATTTGCTGCTAACTGATCTGGTAATTCACTTTAAAAAAAAAGAAGTTGAGTAGTTAGAGAGCATTTTTATATTTTAATTAACACATTTTATTTGCCACTAAACAGCTTCTTAAATAAAATTCTGCAAGAAAGAGTGACATTATCCTTTCATATTATAGTACAAATGTAGATCCGGTGCATTTCCCACCCCCCTGCTTCCCTTTATTAGTAGAGAGGCTTGCTTGTGAAACCCAAAGGGTTAATCGTATAAATTTCTCCTTTGGACCAGCAGACGATTTCCATCATTTTCAGCATTTGACTATGGAACATGTATAGAGTTGTTATACCTCTCTGTAATTCATTCTGCTGCCAACTTCATTCCCTTTTCTCTGCCTGCATTTTAATTGAAACAACATTTGTATTTTTGAGCCAGGATCTGTCAGAAGTCCCTGTGGCTAGTCTGTGGTACAAGTAGCAGCAGACGTGGCTTACCCATATGGTGTGGTGCTTCTTGTAAAATCCATATGGCCTTGTTGAAGGGAATCCCAGCGGGGATGTGAAGGGTGTTAATACCCTTCAGGCCAGGCCTTTCCCTCCTGGGGCTTCTATGGCATTGTCTTTGCAATCTGCCAAAGCACAAATGTAATTCCTTTTTAATAATCAATTATTTCAGTCCAGGAACGTGTGCTGTATTTTTTGCAATCACATCTTCCTTGAATTTATTATTTGTTATGAGTATTTTTTGATTATTTTTTTTAAAGCAAGCTGTAGAGCAGTTACTAACAAATACAGATAAAAACCTTTTCAATATCTTATTTCTTTTACTTGTATTTACAGGAAGTACTGAACAGCGTTCCAAAGTTCTGCTTTCCTTTTGACGTTGAAAGGTATGTTATCATTTATTTAAAAATATTTCATAGGAAGTGATATTTAGTATAATTGCAAGGAAACTTATAAAGAAAAGGAAAACATGGTGTCCTCTCTCAACTGACACCTGCAAATGAGAACATGTCCTTTGTGTTCAAGTAAGTATGAAATCACTAGGAGGAAATTATCACAGCAAAATGCAAGCTTTACTGAATTTTAGGGATATCTCTTTCAAGATAGAGCTATGTTCTGGCTCCCAGTTTTGTCCATTATAATTGTAAACACCATCTGTGTTAATATAAGGATATAACATAGTTTTCTTCAAATGGCAAGCATCATAAAAAATGTTATGGTGTACCAGGATCTAAAAACTCACCAAGCAGTACTGAAACCATGTTGTCTGAGTTCAAAGAAATTAAGACTTTAATTGCATGAAAGTAACTGAATATGCAATTGATTTTTCTCAGAGAAGAATCAGCGCCATTATTTAGAATTAATTAGCTCTTACCTTTCTGGTTTCAGTTATAGTGTGACTTCCATGTAAAGCTGCCAGTCATTTAAATTGTTCATATAAAACATTTCTATTAATTAAAATATTTATTTAGGCTTGTTGAAATGATTAATGGTAATTAATTTAATCAATTGTACTCTCTTAGTTTGGAAAACTCATATTGTCCAAATCAGCAAAGATTGAATTAGAAGCTTGATTTGCATAATTAATAAAAGATACACCCAGGTAGCGTGTAGGCTGAGCTGGTTTCAGAGCAACATTGGCATCAGTTGTACATGGAGACTCGAAGATGAGAAGCATCTTATCAGATGCAAGAAGCTACTATCTGTGGAGTAAAAGATGGTGTGTGTATAGTGGAAAGAAGAGAGGCTTCGCAGAAAAACACACTGGAAAAATGAGGATCTTCATAAACACAACTTCTCTGAAGTAAACTAGGTTCATTTAGTCTTTTATAGATGAATTTAATTAAGTTGTTTGGGTTTTGAAGCTGACTGTCCTTTAAGCTGTTTTAATGAATTAACTAATATGGTTGTCAATGTTGGCTTTAAAGCATTAAAGTCTTTAATGTGCTTAAGATATGTACAAAATTCCATTTAAAATTGGTAATGAAGATGAATAATAGAAAAAAAATTGAGGATAACAGGAAAAGGTGAGGTTCTGTTGCTGCCATCCAGTGGCAAGAAGATCATCAGTGGCAGCAAATAATTATTTTCAAATAACTCATCTTGTGTTAACTGTTTCTGTTGAATCATTCAGAAGACACTTTGTATGAGATGGATAAGCTTAATCAATAAACTGTGGGAATACATGAATTTATAGCATAGCTCGGCATGTATTTTAGCTGAGTATTTGAAGTGGAAAAAAAAGAAGTAGTTATAGGCTGTTTGTTGTTTCTGTTAATACTCTCCTGTGCCCCCTCCCAGATGTGTTTTGTAACTGTTGGTCTCATACTCAGCTGTAAAGCAGTGGTCTCAAAGGTGTAAAATTTCTACTAATTTCATAAAAATTGGCAGGTGGACAGAGGAAGGAGTCGTTCCTGGAAGCTGAGATAGACTGTGGAGAGGAACAAAACTAACGTGTTCAGTCTGGCCTGCTGACTGCTCAGGCAGTACCGCAGTATCTTTAAAATCAGTCAGTGCACTTGCAGCTTCTTGTGTAGCTAGGAGCTGAGTTTTAGGGGATTTTTGGGAGACCAAAAGGCAACAAGGCATCATGAGTGTATAAAAGAGTAGAGACAAGGAGGAGAGGCAGAGCTATTGTGGGAACAAGGACAGAAATACTGGAAGCTCATTGGAGAAAGTAGGTGGCGCTTTACTGGCAAACTGTTTGTGTGAACAACTTGCTGTGTGGTGTATTTACCTTGTACTACTCGGTTCAGGCATTTTCTATAGTGTGTATATACATTAACACTTTTTCTTAAAACTCGTTGTCTCCCACTTTCTCAGTTTTATTTTTTGTTTTAAAATTTGCACTGATAAAGAAAAAGATTGAGAACACTGCTGTAGCTCCATTTTACACGGCTTTCTTTCCAATGGACTTTTAAGATATGACAAGCATTTTAGTTTTTGTCTACCCATAAATGTGCTTTTCACTTGTCTGGTGAATACATATATATATATATGTGCATATAAAATTTTAAATTATTTTATTTTTGTATAGAGGATCATGATAGACCATATACCTAGTACCCCGAAGTATTTTACACATAGTTTCAATGACAATTTCTGTATGGAAAGCTTTGATTGAAGTGAAATACAAACTATCTGTTTCATTGATTGAACATACTGTATTTTAGAGAGCATAGTTTCTCAACTTGTATTGTGTGTACTGTACATATATAAACCACTTCAAGCAGTATCTAATCCTAGTAAGAGCTAGAAATTACCAAGGCAAAAGTGGTAACTTCCACTGATGCTGCTGATAAAGATACCTAGATCAAAATATGTGAGACTCTCCCATAGATTGCTTCTTGGTTCCTAATATACAGCAGAGTTAGAGGGAATGGAGTGTCTTTTCTGTTAACTAGTTAAAGTAAACTCATTATAGTAGGAAATCTGTGTTCTTCAAATTATGGAAATAGGAAAGTTAAAGCACCATTAAAGCACAGTGCTTATATCTTTGTCACCTATTTTCTTCTGACTCACCTGTATTAGTGAATGAATTGAAAAGTGAATGGAATGAGAATGTAATTGATTTTGGTTTACTCACTATGTTACATTGATAAAAGACAGAGATCCAGGTGTAGTTCTTACTATTTGATGCTGCTTATGTCATTTCATGAGACATATTTACTTTGCCTTCTATGCAGATGTTACAAATAATTGTACACTAGTCGTTCTAATAATCAAAAGTACTTTGAATGGTGTTTAAAAACCTAGAGGTAACTCCCATTAAATTTGAACTGAAAGTTAAGCCAAGAAAGGCACAATGGTGTAATGTTATGACCAGGACTTAAACTTTGAGTCTTATATATAATTTTTTATTGAAAGCAAGCACAGATTTTCATTACTGCTGGTTATGGCTTACATTTTGTTTTGAAGGGGTTAAGAAATGGATTGCATCATAGAAGTTCTTAAGCTTTTGTTTCAAGAATCTATGGGTTTTTTTGTAAATAAATTATTTTAGGCTTAAGTGGCACAATAATGTAACATTCTAACAGTTTGCTTGAAGATATTTACGGATAAGTTCCCTTTACTCTGCTACAGATTTCCTTTCTGTTTCTTTTCATACAGAATAGGAACATTTGAGAATTCAGAGATTTTCATTTCCTTCAACATTTGCTAAACTAATATTAACATGCCAGAAAAAGCACTTTGTCCTCTCTCTTGTTCCTTGAATCCTTTATGCAAATTCCGCATGGTTTTCTTCACTTTTCTTACTCCAGTGGTCTTCTGTATTTTCGCTCTCAATCCAGAACTCAGGTATAACTTTGCAGAGAGCCCACACCTTGATCTCTACATCCATCAGTTATTTAGTTGGGTGATGACTAGTGAGCATGCAACTTCTTCTCCTCTTGTTCCTTTTGGACACATTTCAAATTCAGTCCTAAGTTGCTCTACAACCCCTCAATTCTATCTGTGCTTAGAATCTCTCTCATTTTCTGGACTGTAAATACTTTTCCCTCTCTCCTTCCATTCTTCTTTCCCATTTCAGCGTTCATTTGTTCTGCTGAATGTGTGCCTTTTTAGCGAAGACACTTTGGAAACCGCCTGTAGGATCAACATGGAGACAGTGATGTGTACCTCATTCCTACTGCGCTTTCCCAATTGCATGGGAAGAGCTGTAGTTTGTAGTGTAAGAAATTACTCTAATGCTGATACTGTAGAAGATTCTCATTAGCAGTAGAATATTGTTCAAGCATGGGAATTACTGTGCATGTTATTCAACTAATCTATCAGAGTCAATGAGTCATGATGGTAGGAGTGACATTGCTGTCACTCTCCTATTGCTGACTAATACTGTTTCTGTTGGTATTTCTGGCAAAGTCTGTGTGCAGAAGCACAGCTGTGATCAAGGCAAATGCAAAGCAATGGCTGTAGAGATCGTTTGATTTACAGATCTCATGATAGGCAATTACAATTGATTCTGCCCCTCTACTCTGCTCTGGTGAGACCTCACCTGGAGTACTGCATCCAGCTCTGGAGTTCCCAACAGAAAAGGGACATCGAAGTGCTGGAGCAGGTCCAGAGGAGGGCCACAAAGATGACCAAAGAGCTAGAGCACCTCTCTTTCAAAGACAGGCTGAGAGAGTTGGGGTTGTTCAGCCTAGAGAAGAGAAGACTCTGGAGGGAACTTACTGCAGCCTTCCAATACCTGAAAGGTGCCTGTAAGAAATCTGGGGAAGAGCTGTTCACTAGGGCATGTAGAGATAGGACGAGGGGTAATGGTTTTAAACTAGAAAAGGGTAGATTTAGGTTTGATAGTAGGAAAAAGTTTTTCAATACGAGGGTGGTAGATTGTAGATCACTGAAACAGGTTTCCCAGAGAGGTGGTGGAAGCCCCATCCCTGGAGATATTCAGGGTCAGGCTTGATGGGGCTCTGAGCAACCTGATCTGGTAACATCGTCCCTGCTTACTACAGGGGGGTTGGACTGGATGAACTTTAAAGGTGCCTTCCAACCCAATACATTTTATGATTCAATAATTCTGTAAGATATCTTACACAATAATCTTTGCCTTCAGAGTAAATAGTTGAGAATGAGAAGTAAATAATTGAGAATGTATTTCAGACTGTGCAGATGAGGATAAATTAGCTATAGCATTTCCTGTATTCCAGTCGGTTTTCAAGATGAGTTGTAAACCCAAAAATGAAGTAGTAGTTTCATACAGTTGGGTTCTTTCCATCCTTTATCTCATTGTATTATGATATATGTGTTTGTAATATAGAAATGTTATGTTTGAGTCAGATGTATTTGTAAGGGCAGATTGCAGCATGAACTCTGCTCCGTGCAAGAAGGTAACTATTGGTTTTGAACGTAGTGTCTCCGTTTAAGGGTCAGAGAGAGAAAG